AATGATTGCCAAAAAGGTGAAATATCACATTCCCCATATGTTATTCTACACGATTTTGTAATTTTGACATCAGTCACTAATGTCATAAAATAACATCGTTCCAACTTTCCAATCGAAACTCTTACAAGACACGAAAAATTTCAAATCTCTAATCCCTCGTCGAGATAGCACTTCCTTTGGTTGAAAATCCAATTTGAAAATTATGATATTTGGATTGTCGTTAAAAATAGAGTAAATTCCATAAAAGGTCCCCAGTTATAGGTCGTTTTACATATTTAGTCCCTACATATCAAATATTACTAATTTAGTCTCTAATTATTATATCATTTTTCACGAATAGTCCTTTGTTAACGTTTTTGGTAAAAACATGGATAAAATTGTATATTCATATTTCTCTCTCTCCTCAATTAAGCTTCCTCCCTCCTCTCGTACTCTTTCCCAAGCTCGTCGCTGAGTTTGAAGCTCTAAACTCAAAACTGAAATGATCATTCATCTCTCAATTATTAGTCTTCCTAGTGAAATCTAATATCAAAACTAATAAACTTTATGGATGTGTTTTATCGGCTAGTCTCAAGAAATTGCAAAGAAAATAAACATTAAAACTCATCCATGAATGTTACTGGTTTCGAATTTGTTTCCACCACTAGAAAAAAAATTGAGAGAAGAGTGATGACGGTTTTGGGCTCAAAGCTTCAAGCTCAGCGACGGGTTTGGAGAAGGAGTGCAAGAGGAGGGAGGAAGCTTAATTGAGGAGAGAAAGAAGTGTGAATTTACAATTTTATCCACGTTCTTAATGGAAATGTTAACAAAGGACCTTTTGTGGAAATAATATAATAATTGGGGACTAAATTAGTAATATTTGATATGTAGGGACTAAATATGAAAAACGACTTAAAACTGGGGACTTTTATGAAATTTACCCTTAAAAATATTTGAGGGAAGATGAAATTTTTTACTACAGTTGGGTTCGGGCCGATGGGTTGTCAGTGGTTTGAGCCGCGTCCACGTCCACGATAGCCTCCGTTGCCGCCCCGGTTTTGACCACCATAGGAGCCCCGTCCCGGGCCCTGCATGCCGCTGCCACTGCCTGACTGCTGCAGCTGGCCACTGCCGGCTGGATGGTTACTGCCGCTGCCGGTGCTGATGAGCGCCGTTGATGAGCCGGAACCGGAGAAGATGTCGGCTTGTGGTTGTTCCACCAGGAGAGGTGCCGAGCGAACCTCCAGGAATGACAGGAATGGATTTTGATATTGCAAAAAATGCACATGGGACCGGATATCGATGTCTTGGGGCAAGCCCTGAAGAACCTGTAGAACAAAGGCGTGTTCAGTCACCGGGGCATCCATGTCGTCGAGATAGTTTGCCGAGTTTTTGAGGAGATGACAATATTCATTGATGGACCGATTCCCCTTAATCGGTGCTCCATCTGCATCGCCCGGGCATGTTTGTTGTCATGAAAAAGTTTATAGATCGCCTTCCACAAGGCGTGAGCAGACGGGTTGTTGGCGAGGACGAGATCTGAGACTTCATCTGAAACTGTTGATAGAATCCATCCTTGAAGGAGAGCATCGAATTGGTACCATTCGACGTCGTCAGCGGAGGAGGCGACGGTGGTACCGTCAAGAAACCCCATAAGATTGAAGCAGAGAACAAGAAGATGAAAGAGCCGACTCCATTTTTTGTAGTTCGGTTCTGAGATGCTGAGTTGAACGGGGATGTGAAGTTTGATATTAGAGATTGTAGTGAAGGCAAGATGGGGAGATTTGGTGGTGTTGTTATTGTCAGAGGTGACGGAGGATTTTTCGGCCATGGTTGCCGGCGAGAAGTGACTGCCGAAGAAGGGGAGGAGGGACGACAGAGAGAGGGAGATCGCCGAGAGAGAGGACTAGGGTTTGAGAGGGAGCCGAGAATTTTTAATGCTCTGATACCATGAAGAATGAATATTTTCCAATAATGAGAATAGGGAGGTTACATGTGTATATATACATGAGGGGTTTTCTAGTTAGGATAGGAAACATATTTGGTAACCTATGCACTTATGGTAATTACAATATTTACAATATTATATATTGTAAAAGTATATTTAACAAAAACACCAACTTGAATATGGTAATAATCTAAAATATATACTCCCTTCGTCTCATAAAACCCTTTTCAATTCCTTTTCCATTCTTTCCAAAAAACACTTCCTTTTTTAACACTCCTATTCATTTTTAACATATCTATCACATTATACTTTTTCTCTATTAATCTACTCATTACATCTAACTTTATTCATCAGATTAAAGAACATTTATAAAAAATTAACACCAAAATACACTATCATTAAATTCTTTAAAAGTTAAAATGTGAAGCTTTTTAATGGAGGGAGGAGGAATATGAGATTGAATTTTAATATTTGTGTAAAAATAAGGGTGTATAAAAGAAAATGGACATGTGGAGCCACAGGATCGAGTGCAATCCTTTGCATACAAATAAGGTCTTAGTCAACAGTTCTTTGTTGCCTTTCCATAGTCTCTATACACTGTGTGTTTTTTGTCGGATTCCCAATTAATTACTCCATACTATGGAGTACTAAATATCTGTCACAATTTATATTTCTGAGACAAAATATCAAATTTTTTTAATTTATTTTATTTACATATTATAAAAATAAAAAATAAAATTTACATAAAAAATTATATGAAAAATTCTTCGAAATAAAAGTTGTCGAATTTTGCCTTGTATAAAGGTTCATGAATTTCTTTCTATCCTACATAAAATTCATTGACGCCACTAGTTATGGAATATTGCCTTGTAAAAAAAGAACCTCGATCATGTAGACGTAAATAGAATTTCCATTCTAATCTCAGAAAAATATTCCGTAATCAAAAATATCCCCTTCGTCCCGAAGTATTCTTCCAATTTTGACTTTTGGAAGTGCTAATCTAAGCACTTTAACTCATCAAATTCTCTCAATGTATAAGTCTAAATACAGTCATGTGTGATCTTGTTTGATTTGTCTTGACATATACTACCTCCGTTTCTCAAAAGAGTTCCTTTTTTGACTTTGGGGGAAAATAAGGAATTGTTAAATTGTAGTTGACTTTCCAATTTTGCCCTTGATGTGATGGGTAAAAGTAAGATGTGATAGTTTAGTTGTTAGTGAAAAAGTATGATGTGATAGGTAGGGTATGAAAAAGTATGGGTAAAAGTGATTTTTTAATAGAAAGGGGAAGTGTTTGAAGAAAAAACAAAAAAAATGAAAGAGGAAGAGTTTTAAGAAACGGAAAGAGTATATTATTAATATATAATTTCTATAATTTTTTAATATATAAATTACAAGATAAAATGGATTCAAGAAGTGTATTGGATGGTGTGTAAAAATAAAAATGGACAAATACTCTGAGACGGAGGTAGTATAAATTTAATGTTATTATTTTTATAAAAGAAATAAACACATTTAGAATGTCAATCATAATTATATAGAATACCAAAAAATATTATAAAATGTTCATGTGTAGTGTCACATTATCAAGGTGTGAATCCTTATTCTTAGATAAAAACATAAAATTTCTATTTCAGCACTTTGTTTATCCCTTATGTTTTTTAAATTATTGACATTATGAGTTACAAGATATATACACCCTCCCTCTAACAATAAATTTTTCATTTTGATAAACATGGAAAATCTTAGTACCTTCTTTAAAATTATTTTATTTACAAATTCGTATATCATATAAAGTACAAATCATATTATTCAAAACTGCATCAAAAATTCTACTCCCTCCGTCCCATGAAACATGGGAGTTTTGCTTTTTAGGAAGGATTTAAGGAGAGTGTATTTTGGTATTGAATTTCCAAAAATGTCCTTTGATGTGATGGATAAAAGTATGATTTGATGGATAGATTATTAGTAAAAAGGTATGATGTGATAGTTAGGGTATGAAAAAGTAAGGGGTAAAAGTGACTTTTTTATATAAATGAGAAGTGTTTTGTGGGACGGATAAAAAAAGAAAGGAGAAAGGTTTTATGGGACGGAGGGAGTATAAAATAAGATGCAAAAAAAATTTATTTTATCTTATCAAATACTCCGTAATTGGTAAAATTATGTAAACAAATATAAGTTATCGAGATCCGTTAATAGTAACGTAAGTAGAAAGTTTATTGTGGACCAAGGCATTATTGGAAGAAAAAAAAGAGTTAACCTCACACTAGAGGCCAGAGGTGACATTTCAATTTTTGTATAAATTAAAGAATGAGTAAAACATTAATATATATATATATATATATATATATATAAATATAAATAATAGTTCTATGTTTTATTACTGAAATATGATTTAAAATGCACATGTAATGCCAATCATGACAATATACATTAACAAAAAATATTATCAAATGATCACATATAGGGTAACATTACTACAATACAAACTCTTATTTTAGATATAAAATCTTGGAAGTAGTTTGTGTATTACTTCTATTTAGAATAATTTCTTTTTAATTTTTGAACTTAAAGAAATACGTAGTAGTTTTTTAAGAAAATGCATGTTTACAATAAAAGAGATAACAAAGACGTATCTTAGTAAATGAATAATATTAAATATTTTAAAAAATGACAATAACATTAGCCTGTCACTGCAGTTTCATTCAATTGTTGCTATTTGATTAGATTATTTTTAATAGGTTGAAATCTTTCAACCTTGCCGTTTATTTACCCCCATTTTGTCATTCTTACATGGGTTTTCAAAATGGATATTAACCTTTTTAGGGGCCATCTAACTAAGGGTTTGTTTGTAAATAGCGTTAAAGATTATCGTTAGCATTTTAGATAAAATTTTAACGGGATAGATTTCTTTTTAAACGATAACGCTAAACGCTGGCCGTAGATAGCCTTTTCAAAACGCTAACGTTAATCTCTAATGTTTTTCTCAAAAAAACCCTAAATGCTGGGAGTAATTTTTGAATGTTTTTTATCCAACGATACATATTAAAGAGTAGAAATTGCCACAAAGTAAAAATAATAAAAAAGTTGATTAACAATTTACAATTGTCACCAACCTAATTTAAGGCAAATAATGCTACCATTATTAGTTGCAGTTGCTCTAATGCTTCTCCTACCTTAATCTTTATCTCTCTAATGGATGGACGGAAATTAAGGGCTTGTTTCGGAAGAGCGTTTTCAATTAGCGTTAGCGTTTTGAATAAAATATTAATGGTGTAGATTAATTCGGAAAACGCTAACACTAAAGGCTACCGTCAGATTGTTTTTTCAAAACGCTAACGCTAATCTCTAACGCTGATGCCAAAATGAGGCCTAAATCAATTATTCCCGCCCGGCGGCAACGGCTTTAACACATACTCCGTATTTGATTAAACTTTGACCCCCGATCCTTATTTTTATTATTGCCGGAGATAATCCAGCTATATTCTCGGTGGCTAAACTGCGGCGGTCACTGACGATGACGATTGTGCCCCTGAATCCGGCTGCGACCCTGTTTCAACAGTCGCCGGAAATCCGGATCAGTGATCGGGAAAAAACAAGGGAAAGAAGGGAAGTTAAAAGGTTAAAAAATTTTAATTAATTACTTGTGTTGGAAGAAGAATTTTGATTATCCGTGGCGTTGCCGGAATCTTGATTTGCCGCCGTGGCCAGATTAGTTTTCCTCCTCCGCCGGTTATGATCGGCCAGCCTTTTCCGGCAACTTCTCTTGCCGTTATCGAATTCCGTTAGCAGGTGGAACCTGTCATTTCGAAACATCATTAGCTTTTGTGTTTTGAAAACATAAATGCTTTAATCATTTAGTATAAAAAAAAACTTAACCTTGAATTTGACTAATGACAATGATTATTGTCTTTATGTGAAACTCAACATTCTTGTACCATATTCCTATATGATCTCTTCCAAAGTTAACCTTTTCAATTTTATAAATTTGAAAAAAAACCCTTTTCATCTCATAAAATTTTCTTTTTTTTTCATCCTTTCCAAAAAAAAATTCTCATTTCTAATAAAAAGTTAATTTCAATCGTACTAAATTTTAACATAACTTTCACATCACATTTTTTCCCTATTGATTTGGGTATTTTTAGGAAGTAAACAGTAAAATATACTCCTTTAAATTCTTTAAAGGTTAGCACAAAAAAAGTGTTGTAGGAAGAAAGTGTAGATTTTAAAACGGAATAAATTAAAGTACAACTTTTTTTGTTTTGTTTTTGGGTAACCAATTATTGTTCTTTTAATACGGCTGCAATTATTGACTTATTGTAAGAATAAAAGGGTGTTTTACCAAAAGAAGGAGAGGGTGTTTCATTCATACGGACTGAAATGCCCACGGGATCAACCCAGGTACGTGTATGACACCGTGCCACGTACCCCCAATGATTACCCAAAAGGTCACCTCGGGGACATTTCCGTCATTACCACTCCCCGGTCCTCAAACCATTTTTTTCAATGTATATTTTTGACACGTTTTAAAATATATTAGGGAGTATATTTTTAATTAAAAAAATTAGTGCATTTCATGTTAGAGAATGAACAAATTAAAGATGGTGGGGAATGATGATTGACTGGGAGGGGCAATATGGTCATTCACGAACCTGCTGCATTGCTGACAGAAGCGTTGAGATTGGCCGGCGGAGACGACGGCGGCGGCTTTGGAGTGGAACTCGCAGACCTTGTGGCGGCGGTGGTAGAGCTTGGCTAAGGTGAGGTCCGCATTGCATCCCTCCGCTTGGCACCTCGGGAAGTTGGCCGCCGTGGGGTCCATCCCCCTCGACCGGCGGTACAGCCTGCTGACGAAGTCATCCTCCGCCGAGGAGAAGTAGGTCCTCCCGCCCAAGTCCAGCCCAATCCGGTTTACGGCGGTCGGGAAGTCGACCAGTGGCTCGCCCTTTGCGACCGCCCCAAACCCGGCCGGTTCGAGGGAGAGCAAGCCCGCCGCCTGTTGAGCGAACGAAGACGACCGGCCGCCACCGTAGGCGGCGCGTGGGTCGAAGCAAAGACCGGCAAAGTTGTGCTGCGGGTGGTGGTGGAACTGGGCGGCGGCGAAGTTGGATGCCAGAAACACCGCGGCCTGGGTTTCGTTGAAGGCGGCTTGGGCGGCGTAAGAGTCGTAGAAGTGGCGGGTTTGGTCGGAGTCTTGTGGAGTTGGTTCGTCGGGAAACATGCCGGCGGCGGCGGACTGGTTACCCCACTCGTAGTCCAACATTATATTGCACCACTTTGACTTTTTTGTTCACTTTCTCTTCTAATTATTTTTACTGTAACTTGGGCGAGGGGAATATATATATGTGTTTGTAGACACTACAACTACTATCATTGTTTATATTCTACTTTGTACCTATAAATACATGATACATAAATTAAACAATTATGTCAGAATGTTTTATAATCTCCCTATCTTAAACTAATAATCACATTTTAACTTCAAAAAGTTGTGAAAAAATTATAAAAAGTAAAAAAATAAGTGGTTAAAACTTGATTGGAGAAAAGAGATCCGAAAGATTATGGACTATATTTTCTTTAATTTGTTATAAAAATAAAGAAGTAATGCAATTATTTTAGAATTAATAAAAAGAGGCCATAAGTAAACTTTTATAAGGGCACTGGAAACGGTACTCACGCCCAGCTGCGTCATTCCTCTTTTAACGCCCTAGGGGCGTGAAACACCGCCACCATGGAGCTTCATTGAGGCGTTATTAGTATTGCGTCAAACGTATAACGGGCGTTTTGCCCTGAATTTTTTCCTTCAAACGGCTACAAGCCGTTACAAAAATTAAAAAAAATCTTCTATAAATTAACTTATTTTTTTAAAAATAAAACTCACAACCAAAATCTTTTTTCTTCAATTAAAAAAGCTAAACACCCACAAAACGAGATAAAGACTAAATATAATTTGTTTTAAGTTTTTAATTAATGTAATTTTTTAAAATTAAATGTTCTTTTTTATTGAAGGTAATTATTTTTCATTTAATGAATTATTGCCGTTTAAATTTAATTTAGTAATTAATTTTTATTAATTTAATTTTATAAAATATGTAATAAAAAATTAAGAAAATTAAGGTTTGAAGCCCCAGTGTGAAGCCCCAAGGCTTCATACCCATTTTAAGTGAAATTGTGAATTAAGTTAAAGCTGACGTAGCAGAGAGAGAAATTTTGAAGCCTCGATTTGAAGCCCGAGACTTCAGAGGTACTTCAAGTGCTCTAAACAATGGAGAGAATTTTTATTTCTTAAAATAAAATAGTGTATTTAATATTTTGATGGTGTAGTGGGAGGAAATCTTTCCGCTGGGGAGAGGATTTTGTGGATTGGAAAAGCTGCTAAGCTACCTCAGAGACTTTAGTTTTCAGTGTGGGTTTATGACTTTTATACTACCTCCTCATTTTTTTGGCCTTAGTTTTGAGTGGACCCCAAGACAACCCAAATTATTAGGTACAGCCGGCAATTATATGACGGAAGGGGGGCGTGGAAGAATGTACCGGCCCTAGTGCGAGGATGCAGAGGCAATAGAAGTTGGAGGCTGTGCGTGGAGGAGGCCGCGATCGTCAATCGATGTTGTGGCGGCTGCCTGGAGGAGGTGGGATGAAGGTGAAGATGAAGGTAAATGGTTTCCCTATCAATTCTCCTTCCGTTCGCGATGGTCTTCCGCCGCAAGATCCCGATGGGAATGAGGCCTACTGTTACTAAGGAAGATAGGTTGTTTAAGATTAAAGGGTTAAGTTTAAGTTGTTCAAGATTGAGTACTAAGTTATATGAGAATGAGTACTACTGTGTTTTAGAATGAATATTATATTATTCGTAAATGAATACTGAACAAATTTGTGAAAATGAATACGGCCTTATTTCTGAATGAGTACTGCATTATTTCAGAATGAGTACCACGTTTTTCAAATGAACTCTTATGTTTGTGCGAGAATGAGTATTACTTTACTTCAGAATGAGTACTACATGGATGTACCTATCTCTAGGTACATCCAGATGTACCATATACCAACTCCCAAGACAAAGCTAAAATAATACTCGTAGTATAGGGATGTTGTTAAAGAGTTTGATTTTTGGTAACAATAACCGTGTGAGATGTTTAACTGAGTTTATATTTAGTTATTTACATTATTATTATATTACTATTATTACTATATTATTAAAGGTAGTTTTATTATTTATGATTAGATAATTATATTATTATTAGGAAGTATAATTATATTAGATTGTTAGCATTATGATTTATTTAGTAACCTTGTATGGTTAAGATTCTCTAGATCTACCATCTATATATGTAGCCATTACTCATAAAAGTATTATTCTATTATTCAATCAATAAGATATAGAAAAAGTACCAAAATATGACTTTCATATTTTTTTGCACGAAATAGAATTTTGCACTGTGGTAATGTGACTTTGCCTAGTTGTAATGTGACAGTGTACATGTGCAAATTACTATATTTTTTTTGGTAATGTATATGACTATGTATGGTAATGTAAGTCCTATTTCGAAAATAAAAATATGGAATTCCTATTTTGGTATAGTTTTAATATTGTGAAATTTGCTATAAATAGGACTAAAACATAATGACTTTCCTAATGTAGGACTTAAACCTTTTTATTTCCTAAATAGGACTTAATAATGACCTTGTGAGAGGAATAATGTCCAATAATGATGGACATTTACTTGAATAATGACTACTTGATAATGACCAAAAGTCCTACATTGAGAAATAAAAACATATGGTCCTATATTGAGAAAGTCATTATGTTTTAGTCCTATTTAAATAGATTACTCATTAATATTTTAGTCTTACTTTAGTCTTTCTCTCTTATTTTTTTATTTAACTTCTGATGTAGGATAGACTATGGTATAAAATAAAATGTGCATATCAATTCTTATTTTGTAAATTTAATATATTAACAAAAAAATGTTTTTTGAGATGAGGGAATATATCTTTTGCAAAATAAATCCATAAAAGAATGGGACAAGCCAAAAAAGCAAGAATATAATTTGAGATGATATGGAAGAAGCAATTAGTGGCATGGAATTCATTGAATGGAGTGGAGACTGGAGACGCAGGAAGAAGACAGACTTGTTCGCACTGTAAAAAGAAGCTAAAGGTCATTTATAACCCTACTGGCTACCGCTATTATTGGGGCAGTTGTGGTTGGCTGTCCCTCCACAAATGCACACACCCTAAATTAAATTAATATAAAAATTCTTCAAAAAAAATAATTTTAAAAAGTATTTCGTATCTGAGTTTTTTTAAGGAACACACGCATGTTATATTTTATCATTTTCTGTTCCAAAGAAAAAAGACATTTTTTCAGTGGTAGAATATGCAGCTGGCACTTTGTGTTATGTTTAGTGAGTCATGAAAAAATTAAAATTTAAGACATTAAAAAATTATTCGTACATTAAAGTTCTACACATAAATTAAAAAAATGACATGATTGTATTATACTATTAAATTAATAGTGAAATAAGGCAAAGAAAATAAATAAAATTTGAATTGTTTGAGTTGAAATACTAACCATAAACCATTTGTTCGGATGGGGAAAAAAGATAAAGATGGGGAGAAACACAAATTCTTGAGTTTTTTCTTTTTGTTTTCAAGAGGAAAACTGAAAACATACATTGACAAACCATATAGCAAAAAGTTGTCTCCGCTCATCATGCGAGAAAATTGCGCATTATTTATAAAATGACTGAAAATTTATAAAATGACTTATTTGCCCTTTATTCCTTCACAAAAAGGGCATTGTTTCATACTTTCATGATTTTAAAATTCAAATGTAAAATATAATCCTTCTTGCACTTTTCATATATCGAAATAGGATCTTTTATATTTTTCAAAGAGCCTAACTCATTGATATTATTTATATACTAAAGCCTATAAAATGAGTGTGAATTTTAAAATCACGCAAGAATTTGCCTACATCTATCAAAAATATTAAAATCTTCAAGGGTAACAAAAATCTTTTTACTTCATTATATGGAATACTTTTTTTCTTCTTATTTTTCTTTCCAACCAAAGGAAAGAAAACACTTCTCCTTTCTCTTCTTATTTTCTCTACATTTTCTATATATCAATTCAATCACCAATTACATTTATTCCATTTTGTCTTTTTTTCATTTTGAGTGTGCTTGGTTGGGGAAACAAATATTTTCCAGCAATTTTTTAAATGTATTTTACAGCGTTTGGTAATAGTAGTTTTAAAAAATATATTTCCCTTCTAACCAAGTATAGTCTTTCCTTTGTTTCATTTTTTACCCTCATCGAAACGAATGTAAAAGAACTTCTTTGAAGAGCAAGAGAGTAGTGAAAAATGAACTAACTACCATTTCCGTCCCAAAAACTTCATTCTCTTTCTTTTTGTTCTTATCCCTAAAAATCATTCCCTTTAATTTTTTGTTAAATCATTTCTTTTTCTTTTTTTTCTCATGTCGTATTTTTTAAACTAAAAATCAACATATCACATCAAGAATATTTTTAAAAAATAAACATAAAAACATATCTCTCTTGAGTTTTTTTTAAAATCAAAATACATTGTTATAAAAAGGAGGAAGAAGAAGAAGTATATACGGAGTATATCTTTCCCTCAAGGCTCAAGCTGTCTCTCTCTCTCGCTAGGTGCTGACTAGTGGGGAGCACTGAGAGCGTAGGACACATAGGTCTAGTATAGGACCATAGGTATAGTATATTGTCATAAATTATTAAATAAATAATGTTACAAGTGACATAGAAGCTGCATGATATGCATGAGGCGGCTTGAATTGGTTCCCACCTTAATTTTGTTTCCCATTGGATATATATATATATATATATATATATATATATATATATATATATATATATATATATATATATATACACACACACACACACGTAGGGGATGCACCCAATCTTTGTGGGCTCCTTCAAATCCCTCTAAATTGACCACACAATTACTTAGAGCACTCGTAATACATGTAACGCCACTCGGCACTATGTTACTTTTGAAGCCCAGGGGGCGTTAAACACCGCTCCCCTGAGGCTTTATCTGGGCTTCATCTCTTCTATTTCAAGTGTTTAACGGGCTTCAAACCCTTCTCCCCTCCCCACTCTCTCTTTTAAAAAAAATATACACAAACATAATTTTTTTTACTCTATATTTTGTTGTTTAATGTACTCCCTCCGTCCCATGAAACATGAGAGTCTTGCTTTTTAGGAGGGATTTAAGGAGAGTGTATTTTGGTATTGAATTTCCAAAAATGTCCTTTGATGTGATAGGTAAAAATATGATTTGATGGATAAATTATTAGTAAAAAGGTATGATGTGATAGTTAGGGTATGAAAAAGTAAAGGGTAAAAGTGACTTTTTAATAGTGATGGGTATATCCTTATACCCGACCCGGACAACCGAAAGGGACAGGTCAAAATATGACCGGTCACTTTTATCAATCACCAAATGAGGTTAACTTTTCGATTGGGACAGGTCAAAAGTTGACCGGTCACTTCCACTAAAAAAGTGACCGGTCACATTTTTGGGCGATAGCCAAAATGTCGCCTAATGTTACAAAGGACATTCTAGAAGACCAGAGACGGGTTGAGCACAAAGAATGACCGGGTAACTTTTGAGAGAAGGTGACCGGTCATATCACTTTACTTGGCTAACATTGGTTCAGTCTCTTAGGCATGGTGAACCACGTCAGAGG